AAAAAGGGGAGGGGGGGGGGGGGGGGGGATTACTGGATAGGTCATTAAGAGGACAAGCACTCACTTGCTGTTAATGACAGTGGAGTATCGTTCTAATCTGCCATCATTAGCCTGATTATATCAGGGGTTTGGGCTTTGCCTTCAGCTCCAATCAATGGCACCAAATCAATAGAAAGAGGATATCATGTGATCCCTGCAAAGCCAAATCCAGCCTAGAGGGTAGCCCAACACAGCCAGACTCAGACCAGCACAGATGAACCAAGTTCAGCTTTTTCCTAAGCGGTCTCATCACAGTCTAATTCAGAGCAGCATACATAAACTTAGTCCAGCTCAATCTAACACATCTGTGCGGTCTTACCCACTCCAGAACAATGAAAGCCAGTTAAGCACAGCCTAACATAGTTAAACACTATCCCCCGGTTTCACAGACAAGGCTTAAGCCTAACCCCAGACTAAAATCTAAGTCTGAGGTGTTTTAACTGAAAGAAACTTGCTCTGACTGATCTTAAAATATATCAGTGACTTTATTTTGTCTCAAAATGCACACCAGTAATGTTTCTTTTCTAAGGCACATTTATAAAAATTACTTAAATGTCCTAATTGAACTATGGCCTAATCCTGGTTTAGTCTAAGCCCTGTCTGTGAAACCAGGCCTACATGTGACCAGACTGAGTCTGAGCTTTTTGTTTTTTTTTTAATTACAGTAAAGATATGTATGTTACAAAAGATCTCTATTTCAAATAAACAATGTTCTTTTAAACTTTCAGTTCGTTAAAGAATCCTGAAAAAAATCCAGAAAAATATGAAGATTTTTTTTTTTTAATGATGATCAATGATGCTGAAAATTCAGCTTTGATCACAGCAATAAATGACATTTTAACATATATTCACATAGAAAACAGATATTTTAAATTGCAATAGTATTTCACATTTTTACAGTTTTTTTACTGTATTTTTGATCAAATAAAAGAGCTTTGGTGAGTGAAGAAGAAACTTCTTTCAAACATATTACAAAGTCTTATCGACCTCAGACTTTTGAACAGTAATTTGTCTATTGTTTAATATCTGCTCTAAAGGCTCATTTTCATAATGTTAACCAAAGTAATAATAATAATAATAAAAATATACTATTTGTCATTCACTTCAAAATGAAATACAAATTGCGCAGGACAGATGCAGCAGATCAGTGAGAAAGAAAATCTGTGAATAGTTACAAGCAGGTGTTTAACACCAACACGACATGGATATTTTTGTACTGTGAGCTCGGACACTCTACACGGGCATTCAAACGGTGATTAGTGAGAGAGTGTGTGTGTCTTCAGTGAGCAGATGTGTGCATCTGTGAGTGTCTCTGAGTGCCTGGATGTTCTCATGAGTTGCTGAATGTTGTTTGCGTGCAGTATCAACCGCCGCATACCCGTCTTTTACCCCAGCTGTGCCGCCCCTTGAGTTTAAAAAGCAGCAGAACTTCAAAGGTGGTCAGTGAGGACATTAATTTGAACTCTTCATCCCAAATCTCCTGTAGTTTGGTTTGTTTGTTGTAGCGTGATGGTGCAACCCAGTCATTTAGCTAAATGTTGAGATGAATTTGCTGTTCTTTTAGATTAGAATAAGGACATCATGGAAGGATTTAACTGTCCTCCATTAGAGCTTTTAAACAGTCATTAACTTCTACTGATGGTTTAACTGTCCTTAACTTGATGTATTGATTCTTCAGCTTTAAACCAGCTTTTCAACTAAGGTCATCTACATGATTAGTGCACTCCAAAATTCGCTTTCAGCGTATTTAGTTTTCTCCTTTGGCACAAATATTGATTACTCATCTTGCACTAAACAGATTTTTGTCCAATCAAATGCTTTCTTCTATGCCCCTCCCCCAACACGTCTAGAGACTATAACGAGAACTATAAATAATACCGTTTTAATAATCATTCAGATTCTATGAGAATAGTCAAGTCCAAACCAGAACTATAACAATATACAAGATCATTGGAAATACTTCCAGAATTATTTTTTTTCCAGTCGATAAATTATAAAAACATTGGCAGTCAATAAGAATCCACCCAATAACCGCAGTGTGTGTGCTTTTAAGAAACAGAACATTATTATGCTTTGATGTGGACTAATATAGTTGGTGTGAAAGAATAAAGGAAAGAAGACAGTGCTCATGAAAGCATTTCATCAGGTTTTTAAGAATGAAATCACATTCTCCTCTCTCTAGGATGACGTGGATGTGTGGATGTTATGGCTTGGTGTTGCTGGTCTTGGGGGTGATGGGACAGAAACTGCCCACGCGTGATGAAGGCCTCTTTCAGATGCAGATCAGGGATAAAGCTCTGTTTCATGACTCTTCTGTCTTGCCAGATGGAGCCGAGATCAGTGGATACCTGTTCAGAGATACACCGAAAAGGTGGGATCATACATCACACAAACATACACATATTTGTAGTTATATAAATTCAATCAAAACTAGTATATATTAACACAAACCTGAATGAATGAATGAATGAATGAATGAATGAATAAATAAATAAATAAATAAAAAGTCTATATTCAGAAAGTTAAACGTTTCATTTTCTTTTATCTTTTAATTTTCTTTTATATTCTAAATTTATTTTAAAATTTGATTTGGCTATTTGGTTCTTTTTGGTGGAGATAGTGGTTCAGAAATTGCTTGCTTCACCTATATATTTACGATCTTCTGTGTTAAATTGCAGAATACGTGTTTCATGTTTTTCAATTTTCCTTCATGTAAACTAATTTTTAAGTTTGAACATCCTGGGACGGGAGGGTTATAATCATGTGCATTTGTGGAAGTGTCTTTGTGTGAGGGAAGAAGAAATATGGGATCTATTATAGCTATAATGCATCAGATGAGTGCGAGACATGCATTATGAATGAGATGCTGTGTGTGTGTTTGATGAAGCATTGTTTTGAGTAGCAGGTGCACTCAAATGGACGAATATCAACCGTGTTCATCACCACGTCTGTCAAACTGCACCACATGCGAGGTCTTAGCAAAAGGCTACAGGGTTATTTTAGCTGAGGATCCTGCATGAATTAATCACATACATACCACAGATGGTCGCAGGCTGAGCTATTCGCAATTTAAAACGCTTTATAGTAACAACGGATCTCCCCGTTTCCCGTTTGATGTCCACTCCAGTGATTCTGTCAATGTCGTGTCCTGCTAATGAACTGCAGTGTTCTCAAATATAGCTGATTACACTGAAGTCTAGCATACATCTGTCATAATTATTTTACAGAATGTGGAGTTGAAAGGTGTTACTGCTAACAGAAGGTCTGATTAAAAGCTCAGACTGTTTGGAATAACACAGTATCATGCTACTTATACTAATTTAGATGTATATACTGTATATATACAGTAAATATTTAATGCAATATCTAAACACATTTATCAAAATATGCAGTATACAACAGAGCACACTGCGCTATATCCCACAATGCAATGTGCTTAATTTGACCTTCTTTTTCCAGTGTGATGAATAATCTGGAAGTAATTTCAACCATGATTTGTAACTTTTTAAAAAAAATCAAGAGCTAAGACATTTTAACTTTTAAGATTGTTTTATATGTATTAAATGTTTTATATATTACATTACAGTTTAAAAGGTTTTATTTCCTGTAAATGGACCGACCCAGTCTAATGAGAAAACATTACTATTTTACAGGATGATTTTGTATAAATTTGTATGTTTTTTTTTTTTTTTTTAGAAAAAGTGTGACGATTCACCACTAAACCTAATCTTTAGCACGTAAGATCTCATGAAAATAAATAAATACATTTATAAATAAATAAATAAAGTAGTAAAAATGAAAAACTAATTCAAATTAACCACCAATTGGTCAGAGTGTAAAATAGTTACAACCTGCGATAAGAGTTGAAATGCAATGTAAACATTTTTTTTTCAAAGTTGTAAATAAAACACAATTTATTAGAGTACATTTAAAAGTAATACTATTTCAGTCTTTCCAAATAAAAATTCACATAGAATTCCTCTGTATGGATATAATTCATCCGTAAAGTGGTGATGTAACTAATTTTAAATGAATTGTATATAAACACATGATGCTTTCTGTTTCACACACTATTTTTTAAATAAATAGTAGGCAGTATTCAGTCTATGCTTGCACTAAGTAGTAAGCTAATATTTCAATATAGTATTAGAAAGAGGTTACAGCTAAAATACACCAGCTGTGTTTGGTGTGCCTTTTATAAGACATCTCTCATGTGCAACGCATTGTCAAAAGTATGCTAATTCAGCGGCAACACAGTGCTAAAAACGCTAACAAAGCTAGCGGAAATGTGTTGAGACAGCAAGGCTAATGTAACAGCGCTGTGTTTGGGGAATATGGTCCTAATTCGGTAGCGGTCTCCGAAAGGCCAGCTAGTTCTAATTTCAGTATATTGTGTCTTGGGACGTGCTTTAATATATCTCAAGTACTTTTAAAGACGAAACATGACGGCAGTCAGGCGGGCTAAATTAGCAACACCATTATGCATAACCTTGCTAAAATAGCAGTCTTATACTTAGGGACCTGCACTTTTTTTCAGGCACGAATGTGGAAAGTATTGTTATACAACTTGTTATGTAACCTTCTATATAAGTGTATGCTAACAAAGTGCATGTGTTTATCTAAAAAGACCTAAAAATATAATTGCCTGCAGATGGCTAGTTTCACACAGTCATCAAATGCGATTCAGTCCAAGCAAAGAGCACATTTGCTATACAACATACAATGAGTCAGGTTTAATTTCCTGTGTAATTTCTATGTTGTTGTCATTTTTGCAGCGCATGCTAACTTTCCTCGCTCTTGCAGGTACTATTTTGTGGTGGAGGAAGACAACACTCCTCTGTTGGTGACGCTGACACCTTGCGATGCTCCTCTTGAATGGAGATTGACGTTGCAGGAGCTCCCAGAGGACCGCAGCGGGGAAGGATCAGGTATCCGAATTAAATCTCCCGATCAATGTTGCAACTCTGCAGTAATTTAAGACTTGTTTTCCATGTAAACGTTCTAAACTATTATTAGAAAACCTGATCTTAGATCTGTGGAACAAGAGAACATCTCCCATAGCTATTGAATACAACTTAAAGGGATAGTTCACCCAAAAATGAAAGTAAGCAAATAAACATCACATTTTCATTTTTGGGTGAACTATCCCTTTAATGATTAAAGTAGACAGTGGTATCTCTTTCCATTTATCTCCAAAGGATTAAACTTGATTAGGAAGGAAGTCATTCTTAAATTAAGAATCATTTTGATCCTAGAGGATTGAGAATTCTTTTCTAATTTTTGACTAAAATGTAAAATGAATTGAAAGGATTAAAGAAATGATAGCATAAAAATTATTGGGAATATTTTGGTTCTGTTCCAAAACCTAGTGAGCAGCCTTCATAGGCAGCAATTTAAGCTCGGAATGTTAAGGTCGTCCTAAAATGTAGTTACCTGTTAAAGCACTGAGACAAAAGATGAGGCTAATTATACAAGAGAAATATCTAATAGGCCTAAATTATACTAAATTTTAATCTATAACAACATGGCTTGCCAGCCCTGTTAAAAAAAATATAAAAATCTTCGTTTGTGTTCTACTGAAGAAACAAAGTCACCTACATGTTGGATGCCCTGGGGGTAAGCAAATAAACATCACTATATGCACTATATACAAAAATAGGTATGTTTTAAAGCATGGCTGCTGGTTTGAGCTGGTTTAAGCTGGTCATGTCATGTGCTGGTCCTAAGCTAGTTCTGAGCAGGAGCTAGTTGCTTAGGACCAGCACATGACCAGCTAAGGACCAGCTTAAACCAACTCCTGACCAGCTAAGGACCAGCTTAAACCAGCTCAAACCAGCAGCCACGCTTCAAAACATACCTAACCAGTATATGCTGTTTTTTAGGAGAAGCACTGTTTGCATTATAAGGTTCAGTTTCAGTTAGGATGTTGCCTATGTAGGGAATAGACAACAAATTGATTTAACCAAAAGTTAAAATGAATGTCCTACAGATGCCCCCCTTGGAAAGTTTCATGCAAAAATAACTCTAGTTTTATTTGAAAAAGGTAAATATGTGTTTTCTGTGAAGTACTGTGGAGCGTGTCCAGTGTGGGTCAGTATTTTCCACTGTGGTCAATCATTAGCCCTGTTCAAGTGCATCAGTGTGTATTTGTGAAGTGTGAATTTGGGCCCAGTGTAAGCACACTTGGTGTGCTGATGGACTGCATCTGAATGTCTGCAGACGTAAAAGCCTGAAAGCAAGACTGAAAAAGAGTAAAATGGAGTGCATCTTGTATAGGGATATATAAGGGTGAATCTCACAAAACCTGTCAAGAACATGACCCCGAAATGGAAAGATTTTGCAGTGAAATGTGACCTAGACATGCTTTCAATCACACAGCCATAGAATTCCTCCCACTGTTCCCATCAACTGTAAGCAAAAAAAAGGTTGTGACCGGCGTTCGTCTTCAAAGCAAAATTCTTGCTTGTACTCTTGTTCTCCCTTTTAGCAGTACTCCCTCCTCTTTTGCCCTCCCTCCTGGTATTTTTTCAAATTTCTTTTCCCATCACCCTCTCTCTGCATCTCTCTTTTTCCATCTGGACAGTATTCTAAAAAATAAATCAATAAAGTTCCACAAAACACCCTTGTATTTCACTCCATACACATGGAGCAGCACAGTGGGTTTTAGTTCCACGTGTCTGTGAAACCCAATGTATAGGACCGAAACGGGGCAGAAGCTGCTGTGTCAGAAGCGTACTGTATGCGTAGAACATGTCCATGTGTGAGCTTACATGAAGACACGAGTGTCTCCCTGCGAGACGTCAAGCTTCTCTGATCATCTCTGACTTTTTGTGCCATAATGACTCCCAGGCATTGGGTTTCCTCCTTCCTCTCTTAGTCTGTGGCCCAATATGGCTGTCCTGGCTGATGAAATGCAGAGACCCCCATAATTCACTGTAAATTCACAATTTCGCTGTACAGTTGGGTTTTAGATTTTTTTTTACACACCGTGTAATGATTGTCCTGCTACGGCGTGACTTGGCTGTGATTGGGAGATCCTAAAAGACAAATCAGTCACAGTTGATGATATCCACCTTCAGACTAATTTCCTTGCTCACATATGCATTCAGTCATTCACAGTTGCAATAATTCAAACACACATATACACACTTACTCTGGTGGGACTGGACCTTAGGAAAGAACATTTCAAATGAAATCTCTTCAAGATTTCATTTGTTTCAAGACAGCAATGGGATCAAACGGAAAGCAAATTAAAACTTGAAGTGAATGAATGAAAACTGGAGTTTTGTGGCTTTTAGTCAGTGTCTGTTTTTTTGAAACCACCAATATACCATTTTACAGGATCTTTAGGTCTCCTGCTTTGATAAAGACACCAGTACCTTAGAGTTTAGACTCAATTTGAGTGTATTGATCATTTGGTAATAAAAACTATATTTTTATTTAATAAAAAATAAGAGTTGAGAATGGTTGTCCACCCTGTCGTATTGGGGAATCCGCCCCTTTAGTGACATCAACACTAGTGACAACAGATTTTTTGTCTCTTCAGTGGCGGGAATTTCAACGGCTGAGGTGAAATTTGTCGGTGACTTTCCAATTTAAAAATTTTCTTTGTATGAGTTTGCTTACTTGCTTTGCCAAAGCTTAACATGTCCACCCTGTCGGCATAAAATATGCCAGAAGTGATTAGAATACAGTATTTTCAAAATATGTAAGTTTAAATATACCAAATTCTCTTCAACAACCAGACTAAATATTTAGCTAGTAACAGTTTGTTGTAAGCTAATATGCTAATTGAAACTCAAAATGTCCACCCTGTCGGCCATTCATTTGTAGTTAAAATTGCTAAAAACTAAAATGAATAATATTTATTATTATTATATAATTTTTTTAATAACCCTGTTTAGGAAAGGGACATCATACCTTTTGGGGGAGGTTATGTCAATGTGTTTGAGAATATAATTATATTATTATTATTATATTATTTTTTTAATAACCCTGTTTAGGAAAGGGCCATCATACCTTTCAGAAAATATAATTTGCATCTTCATTTTGCAATGAAAACGAATTTAACAGTAATATATCCACGACAGGGTGGACATATCTTATGGTTTATGCTTCGAATAATGGCCCATAATTATTTAAAAAAAATGTGTGGGAGCTCAGCTAATATGTTTCTATAGTACTTGAGTGTCTACTATTTATGATATGACATAAAGCGAATGGGAAATTAAAACCAACATTTTTGAGTATTTTGAGGGTTGAAAGGCACTCTATGGTGATATTGACCCCCTTACAACCTCTGTTTCTATCAGTCCTTGCATTCAATGGGAATCGAGCCCATGACCTTGGTCTTGCCAGCGCCTTGCTCTACTGTTTAAGCTACATAAATACTTAGTTTATCAACAATTGTGTAATTTTATTTCCCTTAAAGAATTTCAGGAGACACATCCGAGACGAAGTTGACATTTTTAAACATAAGTGAGAACTCCATTTTGAGCTACTTCTGTGCAATACTTCATGTACTTCTTTTCTGGTTAATTGCAGGACTAGGTTATAAATGAAAAGCAAACAAGGACATGGAAGCACTTTTAATTTTTGTTATCTTTTTTTGAGGTACAGCAGTCACAGTAAATAACTACTCATACACAAGTCTTTTCCCATGTTTGCGGAATATATCCACTGGGAGCTGGTCTTTGAGTGCAACGCGTGTTCATTTAGTTCTCTGGTTGGCAAACATAATATTATGCTTTCTCACCCAGCTGAATGGAGAGGGCTTGGAAAGGAACTCAAGGAACAGCGAAGCCACAAGGCGTCTCTGTGTAGCTTAGAGTTCCCTGGGAAGGCAAAGTGAAAGTCACCCTCTGATGTGCAAGGTTGTTTGGATACAAAACACAGCCGCCAGCAGATGAGTAGCTAATGTCCACCAGAGCAGGTAGCTCCCTGTTACCTCATAAAGATTAACACATTAAACTATGCTCTTTCCGTTAAGATGGAAATTGCTGCTTCTTGTTTCCAGTGGTGTTAATCGGGGTGTGGGGAGGAAGCGGTAAGTAAACAACTAGATGTGAGGATTTGGAGTGGTGAGGGAAATGCGTCATTATGTGGCAGTTAATGTTAAATATCTCAGTCATTGATGTTCAGAAAAAGCCTAAGTGTGTACATCCATTTGTTCGACAGTTTATGTGGCTTGTGTGTGTGTGTGGTTTAAACAAGTCATCATTCAAAATGTGCATTTCCAAACAGTTTTACCCCCACAGAATGGGCCTTGTTTTTGATGTTTGTGGTTTGTTCTGTGGGGACACTCATTTCCTCATCATCTTCTGATTCTCTGTGCTTGTTTCCCAAGGTCTAATTTTGTGAATCTCTCTATGTCTTTTGTTTCCCAGGTGAGCCAGAACCTCTAGAGCAGCAGAAACAGCAGGTCACGGGCAACGAGGGGACCGAACTCTTTACCTACAAAGGAAATGACGTTGAGTCGTTCATCTCCACTAGCTCCCCTTCGGGCTTGTACCAGCTGGAAATCATCTCGACCGAAAAGGACAGCAACTTCAAGATTTACTCTACCACAACTCCCGAGTCCGACCAGCCATACCCAGAGCTGCCTTACGACCCCAGGGTTGATGTTACCGCATTGGGTCGTACTACTGTCACGCTGGCCTGGAAGCCCACTCCTACTGGCTCCATCATGGGCCAGCCGATCCAGTACTGTGTGGTTATTAACAAGGAGCACAACTTCAAGAGCATATGCGCAGCGGAGGCCAAGATGAGCTTGGATGATTCCTTCATGATTGCTCCAAAACCCGGTCAGGATTTCAGCCCCTTTGACTTTGTTCATTTTGGTTTTGTCCCATCTGAGAATGATTTCAAGGATCGTTCCCTCACCACCAACAGAGCTCTGAGCAACAAGATGAGTCGCACATATATCCCCAAGCCCAAAGTGGCAGACATACAGAAGATATGCATAGGCAACAAGAATATTTTTACCGTGACGGATCTAAAGCCAGACATGCAATATTACTTTGATGTGTTCGCCGTCAACACTGGCACCAACATGAGTACTGCGTACGTTGGCACTTTTGCCCGCACCAAGGAAGAAGCCAAGCAGAAGACAGTGGAGCTCAAGGATGGGAAAGTAACAGACGTCTTCATTAAGAGGAAAGGCAGCAAATTCCTTCGCTTTGCCCCGGTCTCCTCTCACCAGCGTGTCACGCTCTTTATCCATGCCTGTCTGGATGAAGTGCAAGTTCAGGTGCGGCGTGATGGGAAGCTTGTTCTCTCTCAGAATGTGGAGGGTGTCCGTCAGTTCCAACTCAGAGGAAAGCCCAAAGCCAAGTACCTGATTCGTCTGAGAGGGTCCCGCAAGGGTGCCTCCACCTTGAAAGTACTGGCCAGCACACGTGCCGGAGGCAAGCAACCTTTCCCTGCCCTACCTGAGGATACCCGCATCAAGGCTTTCGATAAGTTGCGTACCTGTTCCTCTGTTACCGTGGCTTGGCTTGGCACACAGGAGCGCAACAAATACTGTGTTTACAGGCGTGAAGTTTCCGAAAGCTACGGCGAAGAGCATCGGCGCCGAGAGCAGAACCAGTGCGCTGGACCAGAGAGCCGTCGCAAGTCTGAGAAAGTGCTTTGCAAGTACTTCCACAGCGCCAACCTGCAGAAGGCAGTCACTACCGAGACCATAACGGGCCTCGAGGCGGGAAAGAGCTATCTCCTGGATGTTTATGTGGTGGGACACAGCGGTCACTCAGTCAAGTACCAGAGCAAACTGGTGAAAACAAGGAAGTACTGTTAAAAGACAGAGACTCAGAAGCACAGACTCTGCACAGAAGTAAATATATTATATATATAATGAGAAAAAATAAGTTTATTTAACTCGAAGTGATATTCTACTAAGGAGAGTTTTGCAGACTGACTACTTGCGCACAATGCTAATGCTAACGCTGCATGTGTTGCGGTTACCGAACTGCCTGTAGAGTTTGATATCAACCTCTGTATTTATGTTTACATTACCGAGTCGAGTCGAGTCTGGCGCTCTCAGGCTACCTTAGGCACCTGAAGGTTTGTTCTCAGGGGGTGCCATCGCTGTTGCTACGCAAAGAGTCCCTGTACTGCATCCTCAATGCCGTGGAAATGGGAGTTTGGAGGAGTTGCAGTTCTCTTTTAGCCACTGCATGCACCATTTGTCTGCCTTATGTCTACGTTCGATTTGTTTGTTCATTTTGGTTTTTACGCCAGCCATCGCAGAGGTAGCTCCATGACTCCTTCTCTCCGCTGTCCTGCCCTGTATTAAAAACATGGTTTAGAAGACTTTTTAAATTATTTCATACTTCTTAATGTTTTATTTTTTTAACTGTTTTTTTTTTTTTTTGTCATTGACAACAGTTATTAGTGATAAAAATGTGTTTTAAATCTATATGAAAGTCAACGTTGTTGAAGCGTTTCCCCACTGTCAGTTTGTGTGTGTATAATCTCAGTTTGTGAATCTGGTGTGTATAAATGTGTCTCATCTCTGTGTCACATGTACAGATTTTCTCAGTGCATATATTCATGTACATAAAACACTAAATATAGACATCTGTAATCCCAGCGGTTCTGTGTTTCTCTGCCAGGATGATATATACATACTGGAAAATATCCACAGTGTATGTTCTGCTATGAAGTAAAGCATCTTTCATATGACTCATAGTAATGCACGTCAAGAATACCCAAATGACCCAATGCACAATATTAGCCGCAAAGTCTTTCCTGATTATTGGCCAAGATTTAAGACATTTTCATTTGATAAACAAAGAAATGCAAAATAACTTTTTTGTATTACTAGGATGAAAGCTCAGTGCTACTTGCTGTATTAAGCATGCGCGAAATGAAGTTTTGTGACAACAGCGTAGCATACTATTACTTATTGTTGCACGACACATTCTGATTCACATTAGTAAGTAATTCCATTCTGCACACAGCCATAATTTCTAGGTCTGTAAAGCGAACTGTAAAACTACTATGTCAAATGTCGCATTTGTATATAGCCTGTTTCACTGTTCATCTCTCTTTTTCACAAATGGGTTGAATTTGTGCACAATGCTCAAACCAAACTGTAGTGTCTTTCCTAAGTTTGAGTTCCCTTCGCAGCCTGTCATACACTACAGACATAGCAGAACCTCACCTGTCTTAAATTAGCCTCATTACTGCCCTGCAATAATGAGGAAGAGTACTGGGAATGGTGCGGGAATGGATTGGGAATGCCATGGATGGCCCTTTACAGAGAAGCTAATGAGAATGGTCAGCAGGGACTGTGTGTGCAAAGCTCACAGAAAGAGGGTCAGTTAGAGAGTGAATGTGTTTTTAATAAAACCAAAATTCCCTGGATCCCAAAACAATCAAAAGAAGAGGTGGCCAATGCATTCACTTTTCTTTTCTTTTCTTTTCTTTTCCCAAACTCTAGAGAGTGGTCTTGCTCACTACTGTCTACATAGCCATTTGCCTTCTAAGTCCTGTTTACTGAAATAAACCCTTATAACTGACTGATTTAGTACACTAGATTGGCAGCAACACTGTGCATCACCCAAAGAGTGAAGCACATGGGAGACATCCTCACATAAACTATATGAGAGACTGGCTGAGATAAATGTTAATGGGTGCTCTCTTTAACGCCTGATTGCAATTCTTACAAAATCACGGTATATGTACTGTAGTTTGAACTACATTATAATGAACATTAATATCTATTTTTGTAAGCTCACATACTAGCATAGCATGCATATACCTGATTAACTTAGCTTGTACTCTATGTATTTACTCTATTCACATCAGTCTTTATTTATTAGCAGTTTATCAAGTGAAATAAATTACATTATGTCCAATTTGTTTTATTATAAACTGTATAGTAAGCAATTGTATAAATATTTAAATTTTTAAAAATAGTTTAACTATTATTAGTTGAAGACCGAGGTGGTCGCGATGCATTCTGTGACTGATTTATTTCATAAAGGAAACCCGGCTTACAAGGAATGTTTTCACAACTTTCATTAAAGTGTTTTTTTTTTTTTTTTTTTATAGTTATGTAAATGTTAGGACAATTTAAAAAAAAATAATGTTTATTGAACATTAATATTTGATATACATTTTATAATGTTGCGAAAAAGTTCTTATAACAACATTCTTGGAACGTTCTTATGATGTTATTTGTACTTGGTAAATATTCTCGTAATGTTGAGAGAAAACATTCTTAGAACATTATATTTTGGGTAAAACAAATCAAATGAGAATGTTGTGAGGAACGTTTTAGTAACATTTAACATTCTAATCACAACAAGAAAACATTTTACCATTAGAACATTAAAAATTTACTTTCAAATAACCTTATATTTTGGGTGAAAACAAAGTTAGTAAAACATTGTAAGAAACATTTTTGTAACCTTTAAATATGACCACAACAAGAATACTGGGCATTTAGAAACATTTGAAACAAAACAATGTTCCCACAACATTTTTTTACTTCAATTTGTTACTTGGGTATGTGCTATGCTGCTTTAGTATTTGCCCAAAAGAAGTGGTCTTAAAAGGCAGCAAAACTGTACTGTTTGAACAGTAATTGCATTGGTTGCACACCCATGATACTTAAAATGCTATCAAGTTGGGAAGCTCATTAGACTTTAGAACAGATCTTATGTTTGTCTTTCAAACTCACACACACACACACACACACACACTCCATTTACCTTGTTGTATCCTCTATTCTGGAATTCTTATGAGCCACAGTTGCCGCATTTGGCCGCCAACACTCACTCAGAGTAAGATGATAACAGCACTATCAAAACAGGTCTTCTCTCTGTACTCATTAGTGTCGTAAAAGGAAAATACTCAAATACACAGAATAAACGGTTTCATGCTGGCCGGCAGCTCTCCAGGGACTATAAAAGGAGAGTGATGTGGTTGTTAGGGGGAAGAGTGAGAGATATACAGCCAGAGAAAACAGTGAATGAAATAAATATAGAGGGATAGAAGCCACATCTCGGAGTGATGGGTTTCAGCTTTTAGCGCTGAACTTTGTTCTGCTCTTATCTGATTTTCGGCGTGCGTGTGTCTGTATGAATGCATGTATACACATGGCTTGCGTCCCAGTTCCTTAGAACTCAGTGACACTTTTGAAGATAGTTTGTGAAGAAGGATTCTGAAGTAACTCTTTCACACACACATATTCACTCGACATCCACATACAAACTCTGTTTATGACACTTGTGTGTGATGGTGCTTGTAAGACAGAAATACTGATACCATCAAAAGGTCTCAGAAACCACAGTCCTGGCAGTTCCTCTGAGGTCAGACCATCTGTACCTAAAGACCTCCTCACGTGGATTAAAAACCTCCATCAAAAACTCCCTCTAAAGTGGTTTATCATCATGACAAAAATGCGAGAACAATAAATACTGCTAGTTTGGCGGATATTTCACAAAATGCTTCCCAAGGTCTCTTTTTCGAACTGGAGGTAGGGTGGTTCCTGATGACTTTAAGCTGACTAGATTTCTGGGTATCATAAATAATCTGTCAAGTTAAGTCAGTGTTACATAGCTGTAACTCTTAAAAATAGAGTTTCCAATTAGATCCAGATCCAGCAAGTCTGATGCCACAGGAGTTTATCGCTGTACTGCCACATTTTGTGTCAGATCTGTAGTCAATCACCATTGATTCCTATGTGTCATGTGACTAAATTTGACATGGTAAGTAGCACATGAAAACATAAACCTCAAGAAAAGTCAAGGTTATATACACAGTCTTAAAAATCAAGGTTCCTTATTAGCATGAGTGATTCTATGAAGAAACTTTAACATCTATAAGAGCTTTCACACTGGAGGAACCTTTTCCTAGAACTACTGGCGGAAGTTCCCGCTTTTGGGCATGTTCGCACTGCAGGAACTAGGAATGTATTTAGTTCTAGGAACTCCATTTGGGGGAACTAATTAGCTAACTAGCTCACTAATTAGCTCCTACTTCACAGTAGGGTCTAAAACAGTTCTATAGGAACTACCAGTGACGTAAGTGTACGCTGATACGAAACACGTGTTACCCGGCATTTTTAAGCTGCATAAAAATATTTACTCCACGAACATGGAAAACAGCGATAACGGCATTTACCTGTTGTCCGCAGTGTTGTGTTCTTTTCTCAGCCTTGCCCTTGATGATATGTGACACTGCAAGTTGACATAAGAGATTTAGTCAGATTTTCATGCTCTTTCAATCGCGTAAATTGTGCGTTTACATTCCATCTCTGTTATTAAAACAGCTCAGATCATGGCGTCCTCCATTCACTGGTTATTGACGTTTGTAAATGCCATGAATAAAGATGTTGCTGTCGGCCGCTTCAGAATTCCCGATGCCGATGCAACCAGGAAAATTAGTTCTCTAGGAACCACCATGCTGGCTAGCTCCTAGAACGAAATTCCTGGAACTATGTGGTGCAAAAGCCCTTTTGGAACCTTTCCATTGCACAAATGTTCTTTATAATGGAAAAAGGTTCTTATTAAAATGTTCTTTAAACTAACAACAACAAAAAATGTTCTTTTAAGAGCTGTTCACTGAAAGGTACTGAAGAAACCCACTTGATTTTTGAGTGTAGGCCTACATGCTACCATAAAAGTAAAGGGTTTTGCACTTTACACTTACATTTGAAGAATCTATAATGAAAAATCAAGAAGCTTAAGAACTGTATAGCCCTAATGCCAAAAATACTGCTGAAACTAAGAGTCACTGAAGAACCCTTTAGTTTTAAGAGTTTATACTAGCTATTATTGTCTCCGTCTGAATAAAGGGAGT